TCTTCTTCTTCTTCTTCTTCTTCTTCTTCTTCTTCTTCTTCTTCTTCTTCTTCGCACGTACACGTAATTTAATTGCCAGTTTCCTAATTGAAAACAAACGAATCACTTACTAAACGAAAGGGTCGATTTTCCGGTGTTACCTGTAACCCCTGACCCCAGGTGAGAATCTTTGCAACACACACAGCGCGTCTCTGTGTTGAACACAGGTAGGCTAGCCAGCCGCCATTTTTGTTTTCTTTCACTTTCAAGCACTTCCGTGTTCAGGTGTGGACGAACTGTTAGTGCTTTAAACGGTAAAGATGAAAGTTTATCAGTTATTGGAAAGCTTTTTTAGTTTATGCAGGAGTGTTCTCATTTTAGTTTAGAGATCAAACGCTGTGATGTTTGCTGTTTTATAACACTGACGCCAACACAGGACAGCCACCAAAACCAATTGTCAAAGAAAAAAGTGGCAAATGCTTGACCGTCTTTCTTTGACTGAGTTGCTTTTATAATTTAAAAACAAAGGTGGGGGGGGGGGGTAGATTGTAATTAACATTGTCTGGGACAGGTTGCTAAAGAGCAGGTTCAACTCTATAAAGTTGATCTTTAAGTCATCTGTCATCGTACATGATAGATCTAGATCTAGAATAGACTAGATAGATCATCTAGATATCTAGATCTAAATTCTAGTAGGCCTACACTTAGATTTCTAAATCTAGATCTAGATATCTAATCTAGATCTAATAATTTAATGTGATTCCATCTAGAATCTCAATTCTGTCTTCTGTTCTGTTTTCATGGAGTTTTGAGATGCAAAACAAACGCCATATATGTACATCTCTTTGTCTTCTCCTCTATATTTGTCCCCCCCAACAATGACACGTCGTCATCTTGAAATCCATACATTGTTTCATTTCATGTTCCTATGTCAGCTTTTTCCAGCGCTGGACTCAGAGTGACTTAACTTCATCTGTGAACAGTGAGCAAGGCATCATGGGTCTGGGAGAGACCTCGCTCAAGTGGCGGCTGGCCATCATGCTGCAATTTCTGGGTGAGATTTTGTTTCAGCTTGCTGCCTATTCATGCCTTACACTGAGTACACACTGCCAGTCAAACTCATGTGTGTGACGACGCGGTAGAATCAGGCGCTCGCCAGTTTTGTGGCATATGAAGTTATTGGTATCGTCTTATAGTCTGTCCATTTGCCTCGCTTTTGATGGATAAAGTATCAATTTATCTAAGATAAAAGTCAATATATAAAAGCGATTGAACAAGATGGGGGTCGCCTAATTTCAGAGGTCAAATTAGCGAGAAAATGGCCACCTAAGTTGTGTTATTTCCAAAGCTTGAGAGTCTGTGGAAACTGAAAATGTCCATCTATTATGCCTTTAATCAGCATTTTTCAGTGAAATCCACACATAAATGTGTTATTTAATGGGCATGAAAGGTGTTGAGCCAAAAAATAAAAATTCCTGAACTTGCGGAAAAACGTCAGCTTCTTTTCTTTAATTATTTTGACGAGCGCCTGAATTTACCACGCTACCTCACATATGATTGTGCCCAGACCAGCTAACTTTCCTTCATGGATAGAGCAAAAGCTGCCTGTTTGGTATCACAATTCGATTGAATTTGGCTAAATTTGACTGTCGCCTTTACAATCTAACCGGCTTGTTTTTCAAAGTGGGGAGTTGAATCCATCATTGTGCCAAAATGGTAGCTTCGCCTCTCTGTGGGCTTAAAATCTGGCTGCCCTCGACTCTATTCAACTGAATCCGAATAGCAGCATACACTGGGTACTACTAGACACTTCTAGAACAATACAATAATTGCTACTATCTTTTTAAGTTTCCCAACTGTGATTGGGGTGGGGAAATGTTATGACAGGGAAAATCAGAGCCAAGAGTCTTACTTCATATTGGGGCTATTTGTTCTTCTCATCGACAAGCACCACGGTGAACATTCATATTATTTAAAGGAACGTTGTATGTCTTTTTTATTTTAAGTTTTCTGCAATTTTTAAGTAAACAGGAATCATAATAATCATATTGTCACATGTCACAGTGCTACATCTTATTTCACTCAAATCATCCTCATCATCATCACAATCATCGTTGCCTTTCTCCCCCTGCATCAGGATATAAGTCACGAACAAACACCTTTTCTTATCCTGGGCTAACTCCTTGATATTAATATTATTATGTCTTCCCACTTTTCTGTTCATCATTCTCAGTCCCAGTGACTATTCTCCACTAGTAAGCATAAATCATGTTAGATAAGAACGACACACAACTTCCAGGCAGCTTAAAATCATTCCAGTTTTGAAATTTCTCCCTGAGTTAATGATCAATCATGTCAATCAATGTATTTTTGTATCGTCCGGCTCCTCTCAATCCGACAAGTAAATTGTCGGATTGAGAGGAGCCGGATGATGTCATAAATAACATTATATATTTTTAAAAAATAATAAAACATGATAAGGTAAGAAAAAGCTTTTATGTCCAGATCCTGGCACATTGGTTTGGAGTTTCACCATGTACACACACACACTCACACATGCACTCATACGTACACACACACATGCACTCACACGCATATATGCATGCGCGTATGCACACCCATACACATACACACACTCTCTCACACATCCTCTCCTCCACACTCATCATAATATAATGAGGCTATGTCTTCTGTATTTTCTCATGGCAGGTTTCCTCCTCGGCATTGCTGCAGTGAGCTCCACGTATATCTCAGCGGCAGAGGTGATACCAAACAGAGAACATCATGTTGGGTTCTGGGACATCTGCTTTGATACACAAACATATGGCTGTCAGGATTACCCTGAGTATTTGTCTTCAATTGGGGAAGACGCAGGTAAATTCTGAAATAATATTAACAGTTAAATTTATACAACTCTCAATTTCTGTGCTCAGCAGCATTCTCTATGCGCTTTGCAACTATCATTACCCTGCCTGACTCTAATACACAGAAACATTGTTGGCTTCCTGAGAAGCATACAGTGCAAGCAGCCGATTAAGCACTCAAAACCAAAAGATCTTCTGCAGTCTATAACCAGATACACATTCCCAACTGGGTGAAGTGAGGAAAATTCATATACAATGCCTTTCGTAAGGAGGTAGCATCAGGCCTCTGATGGGATTTGAACCTAAAACCTTTAAGTTGTGAGCCGACTGCCTGACCAAAAGGTGATCAACACCACATTTGTGGATTGCTTCGGTCAAAACATAACTTTTTTGCTTCAGTCAAGTTTATGTTCTCGGAGCAAGGGAACACTACCAGTGGTCCTGTCCTAGTCCTAGTTTTGTTCTGGATAGAAGAGGAAGCGGAGAGGGGAGCAGAAGGCTTTTGTTCAGATGGGGGCAAGGTTTTGGTAATTCTTCTGGCTGTATTGTCACCTGTCACCGTGGCCCACTCTTAGCCAATGGGTGGTTGGTGGATGTTGTGGTGTGGTTTGCTCCTACTTCCCTATCAAATACATATCGTCCTCAGCTCTGCTCCTTCTTTTATATGTTTGTTACTCACTTGTAACACCTCTAATCCTTGGAACTTTTATGAACTTATGTGTTGCAAGTGCGGTAAAACTCTTACTAAACTACAAAAAAACACCTAATTGCCACAACAGGTTTCCATCTTCCCTGGTCTCTGCTTGGATGTATTATTTTATGAAGTGTAGACCACTGTCAGAATTTACATTTTCAATATATGGTGTAGGAGGTCATCCCTTATTCTATTTAGTCTCCATATGCTCTCAGGTCTGCTGGGGTAATAATATAGAATGGAGAGCGCATAGCACTTGCTGCGGAACAGAAATTTGTGCTGTACAATTGCTATCTACAGGGGCGGTTTGTTAACTGGACAAGACCGACGGTGCTGGTCAGATTTTTTTCAGCTGGACTGTTGACAGGAGATT